CCCCACTAACAATTATTCACTCTCCCAGGCTGATCTTTATCAACTCCTTTGTCCAACTGTTCTCTCTCTTTCGGCTCTATCCTATCATTTACTCCCTACCCTACACCTCCCTATTTTCTGCATATAAACTGATATTTTCCCAGCCACCGTCAGTTCTGAGGAAGGGTCACCGGACCCGAAATGTTAACTCTGATTTTGTCTTCACAGATCCTGCCAGACCCATTGATTCCAGTTTCACTTGGGTTCCTTGATGCCACGTTCGGTCAAATGCAGCCTTGATATCAAGGGTTATCATTCTCACCTCACTTCTGGAATTCAGCTCTTTTGTCTATGTTTGAACCAAGGCTGTAATGAGGTCAGGAACTATGAAGCTCTGGCGTCTCTGAGCAGGTTATTGCTGAGCAGGTGCTACTTGATAGCACTGTTGATGACACCTTCCATCACTTTACTGATGATTGAGAGTAGACTGAAGGGGTAGTGATTGGTAAGGATGTGTTGGTCCTTATCTTTGTGTACAGACATACCTGAGCAATTTTCTATATTGTTGGTGTTGCTACTGTACTGGGACAGCTTGGCTAAGGGAGTGGCAAGTTCTGGAGCACAAGTCTTCAGTACCATTGCTGAAATGTTGTCAGGACCCATGCCTTTGGAGGATGAATTGCCTCCAACTGTTTCTTGATATCATGTGGAGTGAATCAAATTAGCAGAAGGTTCATAAACATGATGCTCGGGACAACTGGGAGAGGCTGGGATGGATCTCGGCACTTTGGCTAAATATTGTTGTGAATGTTTCAACCTTGTCTTTTGCACTGATATGTTGAGCTCTTTCATCATTGACAATGGAGATATTTGTGAACTGACTAGTGAGTTGTTTAATTGTCCACCACCATTCATGACTGGATGTGGCAGGACTGCAGAGCTTAGATTCACTGCATCCAACATTGCTGCTCTATGCAATATTACAAGATGTTCTAGAACTGCAAAAAAAAACTGTTTTGATTTTGCAGGTGCTACCGACGGTCAACAATATAAGCTAAAAGAAATTGAAGGTGAGTATTATGAAGTTGTTGCTGGTGTATCCTCCCTTCACATGTGCCTGCTCAACTTTTCATTGTAATAATGGGATTCATTTGTTTTATTCTGTTTGGAGCAGTTCATATTCCTTTTTTAAGAGTCATAGAGATGTACAGCACAGAGACAGACTCATTTTTGCCAACCCGAAATCCTAAATAAATCTAGTTCTATTTGCTAGCGTTTGGTCCATATCCCTCTAAACCCTTCCTGTTCATATACCCATCCTGATGCCTTTTAAATGTTATAATTGTACCAGCCTCCACCACTTCCTCTGTCAGTTCATTCCATATACACACCACTCTCTGCATGAAAAAGTTGCCCCTTGGATCCCTTTTAAATCTCACCTTAAACCTATGCCATCTCGGTTTAGACTCCTCCACCCCGGGGAAAAGATATTGTCTGTTTGCCCTATCCATGCCCCTCATACATAGAACATAGAACAGTACAGGCCCTTTGGCCCATGATGTTGTGCCGAACTTTTACCCGAAACCTAAGGTCTATCTAACCTCCACCGCTACCTTATACTATCATCCATATGCCTATCTAATAGCAGCTTAAAATGATTTTATAAATCTCTATAAGGTCACCCCTCAACTTCCGACGCTGCAAGGAAAATAGCCCCAGCCTATTCAGCCTCCCTCTATAGCTTAAACCCGCAACCCTGACAACATCCTTGTAAATGTTTTCTGAATCCTTTCAAGTTTCACAACATCCTTCCAATGGCAGGGTGACCAGAATTAGATGCAGTATTTCAATAGTAGCCTAACCATGTTGTACAGCCACAACATGACGTCCCAACTCCTGTATTGCTTGTTGAACAATTATTCAAAGAACAGTGAATAATTAAATCAGCATGTTCACACTAATGAAAGGTCTAATATCCAAAATCCAGCTGAATAAAAACCAGAATTGTCCACAAACTGAACATTTCTGTCCTAACAGTTCAGGGTTGCACTCTCAGAATGGAGCAAATACAGGAATGAAGATGTTGATCCAGAAGATGGAATCAGTGACTTTTGTGCACACATGGGACCTGAGTCTATCATGGTCTTTCAGATCTCCCCCCAGTCCCCTCCTCTTCCCCACACCAGTGCCCCCCTATTCTCAAGACACAAAATGAACAGGTTGATGACTCAGTGGTTAGCACTGCTGCCTCACAGCACCAGGGGCCCAGGCTCGACTCTGGCCTTGGGTGACACTGTGTGGAATTTGTATGTTCTCCCTATGTTTACATGGGTTTCTGCGGGGTACTCTGGTTTCTTCCCATGTCCAAAGATGTGCAGGTTAGGTGAATTGGGCATGGGAAATATAGGGTTACAGGGATAGGGTAGGGAGCTGGTTCTGGGTGAGTGCTCCTTGGAGGGTCGGTGTAGACTCGATGAAATGAATGGTCTCTTTCCACTCCACAGGAATTCTACGATTCCAACTGCTCGCATGTGCACAGCAGCATTGTTTTCTGGCTGAATTTAGGCCAGAACTCCCTCTGAAAAGATAAACCACGAAGAAATTATGATATTTCACCAGTAATCCGAAAGGCTTGTGGTGGCCTCAATGTAACTCTTGAGGGAGACGGATGTATGCCTGGATGAGAAGTGCTTTCAATGTAAAATAAAGTATCTTTTCCTTCTGGATAGTTCCTGCAGATGGTTCACAAGCCAGCAGTCTGGACAAAGAGTATCCTGACCTGGGTAAATGCACACTAACATCCAGCAATTACATAACTGAAGCTGTTTTGCCAATCCATGTACCATTGTCAATTGATTGTAGATCTACACAGAGGGTCAATTCCTGGTTCAGTGGTGTAAAAACTGTTTAGAGATATATTGAAAGCAAGCTAGAAATATCAGTAGTCTCAGTATTAATGTAAAATCTATGGCACACAATCAGCTGCTTGTAGCCATCTACTCTCTGCAGGTATTCATGTTTCATTTGAACCTCCTCCCAATACATCCTCTGACCCAGCAATCATGTCCCTCCATTGACTTCTCCTTTGTGTCTGTACAGAGCCTTCCCTTCAGTGTATTGATGTGGCAATGATCTCCACAATTTCATCACTCACTGTGCAATGAATCGCAATATGACAAGATGCTACAATCCATAAAGAAGGTGGAACTGTAATTCTTGACTAGTGCTAGATAGTGAAAGCCAAACTAGGATTGTGTATGGTCTGGTCAAACCATGATGATGTGTCCAATTTTGACATCCAAGGCATAAGGACCAAAGGACAAAATGACAATACCATGCTGTGCGCCAAGAAGCATCTTGAAAGGCATTTTCAGAAACAGCCTGACAAAAGTACAATAGTGAATAGCACCAAATAATATTGCATCTCAGACCTATTAATTTCATGAGGGGCAAAGCATAGACAATATGGATGAGGGCTCGGCAGGGAAACACAAACCTTGGAGTAATAACAGGGTGAGTTGTTGTGTGATCCAGTAAGAATGAAGGAGACAGAGGAACCTTTCCAATCCGTATTGATCTTGAGTCTTTGCATTGTTTCCCCATAGCAACTGGTGAAGGAAAGAGTGGCTTGGTATTTCCAACAAAGAAAACTATTCAAATAGTTTCATTGACTTTACCTGATTAGGAGGGTATTTGCATTGAGAATACTTCACCAGCGTATCCTTTCATTTTTAATAAAGTGTCATTTAAAAGAGGGAGCCCTTCCCTTCACAGTATTGTGCCAAAGTACAGCTGAGATGCTGAAAGGTGGTCGAAATTGTGTACATGCACACCAAGGTCCCTCTGATCCTGAGTTCTTCTCACGTTCCTACTATTTATCATGTATTCCTTTGCCTTGTTTGTCCTGCCCAAGTTCATTAGCTCACATTTATCCAGATTGAATTCTATTTGCCACTGATCAGCCCATCTGACCAGTCCGTCTACATCCTGTTGTAGTCTAATCTATTATGTTTCCTTCTCGCCTTCCATTCCCTGATCATTCAGACAGACACTGGTAAACTATATTGTGAGTTTTTATTGAGGGTGACAATATTATATGCACAGTGCTGGAGAACTTGGACTTCAATATCTTTTAACTGGTCTACTAACACATTCCAACCATGAACCCTGTGACAAACGACACGTCCTGTCTGCTCATGTACAGACTTAAAGACATTCTACAACAATGTGCACAGATGATGCTACCAATGTAAGCCTCTGAAAGGGTTAATGCGGAGGAATGCGTGAAGCACCATCTAATATGAAGATGTCACACGGACTTGGGGAGGAGAACAATTTTAGATCTTGAAGGAGTAGCACTTAATTATCATGCTCCTGCACAATCTCTGGAACAATGTTCATCATACCAATATAACCTGTTCCTGATTGCTAGCATGTAATACACTGCAGGTTCTTTAAGGCAACAGTCTCTTCTCTCTCGACCATCTAGTGGCTTTCCTCTTCCACATGAGGCCTAGCAGAAAGAAGGAGGAGACAGCAAATCTACCAGAAGAACCTTACGTCATGATGAGAATTTATCTTACAAGTGATCACATTGTAGGAACCAGGAAGGGAAGGTTGCTTGATATTAACTAGAATTCTTATTGGATGACATTAGATAATTCTTTACTGCATATTTAAACGAGTGGTTCCCTTCCATTTTCACTCACAAAGTCTACATAAATCTTGCTTCTTTGATGTTGATAAGTTTCTTGTGCGTTGTTTTTATTCTGGTGTTCAAAAGCCCCCAGGACCAAGCAGTTCTAAATATTTAGTCATGCTGATCAAATGGTTAAGCTCAGACAGAAACAGGAAAGTTAAGGACTCTCCCAGATGCCTACAAAGCCAGTACACCTGAGGCAGAATTTGTAAGATTTTTACCAGGCCCCATTAAGATCATGACATTTAACGATATGAATATTAAACATACAACGCATTTCACAGATGTCAAAAAATAATATGGATTTTATTTTACAGATGACATGTACAACCTGAAGTCTATCAAAATGGATTTGACTGAGTTTGAGGCTTTTGACACATATGCTTGTAAGGTAACAACCAAAATTCCAACCCATAATCTTTCCAAATAAAAAACTGAACACCAGATCAGAAGCCTCTCTCTGTTCCAATTCAAAAACTTTATTTTTCATAATTTGTCAGTTACTGGGAATGTGAAGTTTGAAAAGAAATTCTGTAAAGTCCACAAGTCTTAGTTTCCACCATACCTGTGGTCACCCAATTCGCACTGTCTGCTCTGACTTTTAATTTAATTTCCATTTCCCTTTGTAATACTGTTTGTGCTTCAGAATTAGAATCACATCTAATTCCTTCTTCCCCATCTTGTGTCAGTTCCCAACATCAGAACTAAAGCGAGCTAGGGCTTTATTCTAATAAGTTGTTAGCTCTAAATCAGAAATCACTAGGTGTTCAGCATTGCTCAAGATGTGTCCAGTTTCACATCCAGCTGAATTGAAGTGATCTTTGAAAACCCCAGCAACAACTCTCCAATCTCACCTGTCCCATCCTTCATGCGAGTCCCTCAATGCAGAGCTGTGTCGTTGTGCTTAAGCTTGGCCTCAGTGTTTTTGCCTTGAACCATTTCACTACTAAGACTGCCTTCTTCCACTCAATACCTGCCCTACCCTTACAATGAAGCCTTTCTTTTCTTTAAGTAAAGTCAAAGTTTAATAATCTGTCCATGTGTCTTGAGTAGTTGTTCATTGGTGTCTCTTGGTATATAGTACTTGTAATTCCCTAAAATTCCTCCTTGTCCTTCCAGACCTGTCTACTTGCACACCATCCTCCCTCCAGTACTTCTCCTCTACATCATAGCTGGGTGGAACTGCTCTCACCTGGTTCCATTCTCATCTATCCCGCTGCAGCCAAATTATCATCTGTAATAGCTTCTCTTCCTGTTCGTGTATTTTTATCTCTGGTGTCCACAAAAATCCAACCTTGGCATCCTCCTCCTGTTTGCCATTTGCAGGCTGTCCTTGGACAATGACATGTAAGTATTTCACATGTACGCTCAGCTCTATCTCACAATCACCTCTTTTCACTCCTCTACTGTTGCTGAATCATTAGACTGTTGATCAATGTTTATTCCCTGATGCACAGATGTTTACTGGGAAGGCTGAAGATTTTGCTTTCAGTTCTGCTGCAAGCTGTCTATTTCTACATCTGACTGACTTCACCTCTGTCTCAGGTCAGCTGTTGCTGAAACTCTCATTCATGTCCTCCTCATTATTCCAACACACGCCTGTCTAATTTTTACATACCCTCCAGCACCTTAAGTCCAGCCAAAACTTTGCTTCTTGTGTATAAGCTTATTATTATTATTCAAGAACTTGCTTTCTAAAGAGCAGGAAAAAATGGATTCTATATTTTCAGTTCTGTGAAAATTTAAGGCTTTTCTTAACATCAGAGAGTCATTTTGAAGATTAAGTTCAAAGCTTCATTTACAAAATGTCGTATGACTTCAGCTACATTATCAAAAAGGTGCCTGGGGGTATGGCAGCAGTCTAGCAAGACAATAACATCTACACCTTATTGAACCTGTAGACTTAGACATTTTAAAAGTTACCTAGCCTGATGTCTTCCTGTAAAGAATCCTGATTTGTTGGTTTAAATACTGCAAATGCCTAGCTTCACAATCTGCTGAACATTCAAATCTTTGAGAGACTCCTGCTACAACTCAGACACGTGACTCTGGTTATCTGAGCCTACCTAGGCTAACCCCTCAGGAGACTGCAAACTGTTCCTTTGTTTTGAATTGGTAAAATTGTCACAATTATTATAACACCAGGACTACTGTTTCTCAAATGTGAATGTCCAAATTAATATTTGGACTAAAAATTACTTTAAAAAACTAAGATTAATAAGTGATGAAACCACTGATTTATGATGGCCAAAGGCATCACCGGGCGGCATGGTGGCTCAGTGGTTAGCACTGCTGCCTCACAGTGCCAGGGACCTGAGTGTGATTCCAGCCTTAAGCAACTGTCTTTGTGGAGTTTGCATGTTCTCCCTTGTATCTACGTAGGTTTCCTCCAGGTGCTCTGGTTTCCTCACACAGTCCAAAGATGTGCAGGTGGATTGACCATGCTAAATTGCCCCTAGTGTACAAGGATGTGCAGGCTAGGTGGATTAACCATGTGGAAATGTGGGGTTACTGGGATAGAGTGGGGGAAGCTGGGTCTGGGTGGAATGTCTTTGAAGGGCCAGTGCAGTCTTGATGGGCCAAATATTCTCTTTCCACACTGTCAGGATTCTGTGATCACCTGACCCCACAGCTGGCTGAGCTCAGAGTGAATTTGAGGAGAGGTAGCTGGGCTGAAATTAGGTTTTCAGCCAGAAGCAATAAACCCAGCAAACTCTGCCAAGCACCATCATGAGAATTTTTCACATGTTGGAGATGAAATCAAAGATGCAGCACTGAACGCAGGCTGAGAATTTCTCCCTGTGTTTCTCAAGAAGAAAATACTGCCTGATGATAATACTGATTGGAGAGAAACAGCAGGACACTGAGAACTCAACGGATAACTGCAATATTCTCCATTGGTGACAATCTCAGAAATTATCTCATCAGTTGTGGTCTGAGGTTAAACTCTTACACCTCAAGTGACCAGAAGAACTTTGTACTGTTATGTCACAGGGACAGCCAGCCACATCAAATCAGACTCACTAAATCTGGATCCATAATGCAGTGAAGTTAAAACATTCAATGACTTTCAATCACCCAATTGTTCCTAACTAGATATTAAGAATCACAGCAATCAGATGCCATGTTTATAACTCAAACAAAAATGTTCAATTTCATAGAATCCCTACAATTGGAAGCAGGCCATTTGGCCCATCGAGTTCAGACCAGCCCTCTGAAGAGCCTCCAACCAAGACCTAACCCCTTAACCTATCCCTGCATTTCCCATAGTTAATCCACCTAATTTACACATCCCTGCACACTGTGGGCAATTTAGCATGGCCAATCCACCTAACCTGCACATCTTTGGGCTGCGGGAGGAAACCCATGCAGACACAGGGAGAATGTGCAAACTCCACACAGTCGCCTGAAAGTGGGAATGAACCCGAGTCCCTGGTGCTATCAGGCAGCAGTGTTAATCACTGAGACCCGTGCCACCTCATTTATTACAAAATTCATTACTAATATTTTAATAGAGCAAAGCTAAACAACAAGGTAATGTAACTAATGTCTATGAACATGAGATAACAAGGTGTAGAGCTGGATGAACACAGCAGGCCAAGCAGCATCAGAGGAGCAGGAAAAATCTTGTTTGATTGTACCCCCACGTAGACAGACTGACAGGGATAGTTAAAGGATAAATTAAAAGAAAATGAGAGTTGTAACTGGCCAGTTAAATAATCGCTTCAACAATCAGTACCAAGCTTCTATGAAATTCCTTAAATGATGTGCTGTATCACAGGCACATGTGATTGCATCTTGCTTGAATTCTGAAGTCACCAGTCAATGCAAACAACTTTCTGCAGGGTCTGAGGAATATTCACTTTTCTTATAAACTGTGATTCTTTCCTCAGGACACCCAATAACTCAATAATGGAATATAAAACTAGAGAGGGTAAAACTCAAAAATCTCTTTCCAGTTTTGCAATTTCTGGACACATTGCCTTCTGCTCCAAAAAACAGTCAAAACCAGTTCAACTTTTGGTTTCTGTTTCTTTGTTCCACATTTGCTGTAGTTGGCCAGCCAACACCGTCTTCTCCATGATTGACCAGTGCAATGTCCACACAGCTGGCAGTCTTTGAGCAGAACACGTCCTGATGCCAAAACATCTTCAGTGTTCTTGAAACAATAATTAACCTGCAATTATTTTTCCAAACTGGTTCCCACGTGCAAACATCAGTTTGTTTGTTCTCTCTTTTCTTGTAAAACAAGCTGCAGTTCAAAGCTCAAAGTCTGATTCTCAGCTTCAGCTCATGGTTAGGAGGAGCTCTTCATCCATTGGGAGGATGCAATTGAAGAAAATTCTTGCGAAGGCCTTCCCTTGGTGAACAGTAAGGAGACCACTCTGTTGTTAGCTTAATTTGTCGTACCACCTTTCTTGGAGGTGGTCACAATTATTGTGTCTCAGAGATCCCTTGGTATGTTCTCCTCGTTCTAGGTGAGGTAAGGTGCATTTGTATTGCACCTCTCACACCCTCAGCATGTCCTAAAGCATTTTATAGCCAATGATGTAATTCTGAAGTGTAATCATTGTAATATAACAAATGTAGCAGCCAATCTGCACTCAACAATATCCCACATCCAGCAAATTGCTAGGTAACATTTTAATGATCTGTGAAATAGTGGTTAGGACAACAGAGTAAACATCACTGGCCATCTTGAGAAAAGTGACATGGGATCTTTCAAATCCAGCATACAGGACAGGCCCAGAGCTCAGTTTATTATCCCAGCTGAAAGAAGACACTTTCAATGTTGCTGCACCTCCTTAGTTGTGGACTAAGAACAGAAGAGAGGGAAATACTCAACAAGTCTGGCAGCATCTGAGTCAACACCTTAGGTCAGTAACTTTACCTGTGAAGAGTTAGAACTGTGGAGATGGAATGGAACAGAGTGGAAACAAAACCAAAGAGAAATTCTGTGAGGGTTTGAAAGAGAGGAGTAGCTAAATGACAAAGACTTGGTGGGAATAGCCAAAGGGAACAATTAAAGTAAAAAAGAGACAAACTAAAGCCCTCAGAAGAAGAACAGAACTTCTTCAAGGTTCTCTGTACTACACATAGGTGTCAGCCTGGATTCAATGCTCAAGTCCTTGATGCGAAGTCTGAAATCACAGTCATCTGACATGGGCTAGATCATGACATGCAGTCGTCATAGAATCATAGAATGCCTACAATGTGTAAACACGCTATTCAGGCTATCAAGACCCTCTGAAAAGCAGCAAACCCAGACTCAACCCCCCCCCACCCTATCCCTGTAACCCTACATTTCCCTTAGCTAATGAACCTAAGACTGCATATCCCTGGACATTATGGATAATTTAGCATGGCAAACCCATCTAACCTGACATCTTTGGACTGTGGGAGGAAACCAGAACACCCAGAGGAAACCCACGCAGACATGGGGAGAGTGTGCAAACTCCACACAGACAATTACCCAAGCGTGGAATCAAAACCTGGGCCCCTGGTTCTGAGCAGCAGAAGTGCTAACCACTGAGCCATCTTGCTGTCCCCATAAACTTTCTTTACAAACCACAATGTATGTTTCCAATTATATTCTTTAAAACAAAACATCATTTTCTTTTCATGAATGTATTTTTAAAATCTCTGTTCTTATAAGAAACTACAGGAGTTTCCAATAGCTGACTTGCTGAAACACAAAAAAACTAAGGATGACCACATGCAACATTCATACAATGCAAAAGTTATAAATGAATTACTGCCACCTCTTGACCAGGCAAATATCTTTATAAATGTATTGTTACCTCTTATTATTTGACAGACTAAAAGTCTTGTTCAATTTTAACCAATTGTTATAAAGTACATACAAATGAAGCTTTTTGATGAACCAGCAGTTTAACTAATTACAGTGATTTCATTTGTCATTACATATATTTTTGTCTGAATAGGTTTCTCCAAAGAGTACTGTGCAAAAACTTGTGAAAGAGCTATTGTTGTACGCAAGTACAGACCTGGAAAGAGTCCGAGCAATATGGATCTGGATTTGTTGTCACATTGGTAAATATTCAGCTAAGCATTCATTACAGTTCTGTGCATGAGTTGTTCGCATCACAGTTGAAATGCTTTACGGCACAGAGTTATGTTATAAGTAGAAGCAGCACAATATTTTTTACCCTCCCTCTAGCTCTCTTTCCTGTAAAAATACAACATTGCAGGAGGTAATGAATCATGAACTAACAATAAAGGTTTGTACTTACGTTGTGTCAGCAACATAGTAAAACTCCCCAGGGTGCAGTACCAGACCCTTGTCAAACATATAGGAGTTATTAGGGATTGGCTAAAGGTATGTTGTAAAGATTGTTTAAGGAGGAAGATAGAGAGAGATACAAGGCAGACGAGATTTGAAAACAAACATGACAGTTTTAATTCAAAAACACTACATCTACTTATTTCCCTTATCCATCCTACTAATTCCATCATTAAAAAACCTCAACAGATTTGTCAAATATGATTTTGCTTTGGCAAATTCCACCGCATTTTCCCAAATAATATTATTTTCTAAGTGGCCTGATTCTAAGACCAGGATAATAGATTCTATTATTTTATCTACTACAATTGTTAGACTAATGGGACTTCAGTTCCCCATGTTCTCTCTCCTTTATGTCTTAAGTAGTTGGTTTATGTTCATGTCCTTCCTATCCTTGGAAACTGTCCCAGAATTGGAGCAATTCTGGAAGCTCAAAACAAAAGCCTCTGCTGTATCTACAGCTGTTTCCAGTAAAACTCTAAGATCTAGGTCACTAGGATCAAAGGATTGGTTTCCACTTAGTCCCATTCATGTCCCCTGTGCTACTTCTTTACTTATACTGATGTTGCTAAGTTCCTTATTCTCACTACACTGTTTTATGTTATTTGAATCATTGAATCATAGCTTCATTATGGTGCAGAAAGAGGCTATTCAGCCCATCTGTCCCATGTTCATTCTGTATGGAGTTATCCAATCAGTCCCATTGCCTGGCATAACTCCAGAGCCCTGCAAGTTAATTTACTTCTAAAGTCTATCCATTCGGCCCCTCAAGCCATTTAATAAGATAATGACACATCTGATTGTGGCCTCAACATTCCTGCCTACTTCACTACACTTTGATTCCCTTGTGTATTAAGAATCTATTTCAGTCTTAGAAATTGTTAATGACCCTGCCTCTGCCACTCTCTAGAGAAGAGTGCTGCACAAACTCATAACCCTATAAAAGAAGATATTATTTCTCATCTCAATCTTAAATGAAAACTCCCTTAACTTTAAACTATGTCTCTGATTCCGGTTTCCCACAAGACGATACATCCTCTCAGCATCCACCCTGTGAAGCTCCCTCAGGATTTTATTTGTTTCAATTGGGTCAACTCTATTTTTCTAAATGCCATTGGAAACAGGTCCAACCTGTCCAATCTTTCCTGCTGAGATAATCCTTTCATCCCAGGGACTAGTCAAGTAAACCTTCTCCTTCTAATGTATTGATATCATTTCTTAAATATGGAGATCAAACTATACACAGTATTACAGATGTGATCTCGCCAATTCCCTGCTTTATTATAGTAAAGCTTCCCTATATTTCATTTCCCTTACAATAATTGACAACATTCCATTTACCTTCCTAATCACTTCTTGTTCCTGCATCCTAACCTTATGTGATTCGTTAAAACATTGACTCTCTCTATAAAGGTTTAGAATAACTGTCCTGCTGTTGCACTCAATGTCTCTACTTATAAAGATCAAAACCCCAAATGCTTTGCTAACTAGTTTCTCAATGTGTTTTACCATCAAAGATCAATGCATATGGACCTTCCAGTCCCTCTGTACACTCTTCAAAACTGTCTCATTGTGGATATTAAGCTTGTCATATCCCTCTGCTATAATGTACCACTTCACATCAAGAAGATATACTTGATAGTTGTATTAATGTGTGATGATCTACACCAGGGTCCCAAATGATGCAACTTTCAAATAATGTGCATAAAGTGCATTATCTGAGGGGAGAAAACAAAACAACAGAATTACTTCCGCATTTTAACATTTTGCTTTTCTATGCAAATTTTAAATTCCCAAAAGGAATAGAAACACTTCATCCCCACTAACTGAGAATGATAGAGGAGAACACTGAGCCATCTGAAACAGGGCAGGTTCCCATACTACTGGGATCTTGCTTAAGACCTATTTCACTGGGCTTTGCTGAGCTTCATCTCTACCCCAGAGTTACTTGCATTTTATTTTATGTAGTGCCCCACTCATCTGTGTGGGAGTACAGTCCAATAAGCAGCAGGAGCAGATTGCACTATGGTGTTATTCCAACCAGCAGAGAATTTTCCACCTGATACCCAATGACTCCAGTTATGCAAGGGCTCCTTAATGCCACACTCGGTCAAAGGTGGCTTTAATGTCAAGGGTTGTCACTCTCACCTCACCTCTGGAATTCAGTTCTTTTGTCCATGTTTGAACCAAGGCTGTAATGAGGTCCGGAGCTGAGTGGCCCTGGTGGAACCCAAACTGGGCGTCACTGAGCAGGTTATTACTGAGCAGGTGCTGCTTGATAACACTGTTGATAACACCTTGGACAGTATGGTGGATCATTAGTTAGCACTGCTGTCTAACAGCACCAGGGACCAGCATTCGATTCCACCCTCAGGGGACTGCCTGTGTAGAGTTTGCACATTCTTCTTGTGTCTGTGTGGGTTTCCTCTGCATGCTCTGGTTTCCTCCCACAGTCCAAAGATGTGCAGGTTGGGTGGATTGACCATGGCAAATGAAGGGTTATGGGGATAGGGTGGGTCTGGGTGTGGACTTGATGGGCTCGCTTCCACACTGTAGGCTTTCTATTATTCCATCACTTTACTGATGATTGAGAGTAGACTGTTGGAGTGGTAATTGGCTGAGTTGGATTTCTCCTGCTTTTTGTGCACAGGATATACCCGGGCAATCAGTTGGGTAGAGGCAAAACCAGCATGTAGCTGTACTGGGATAGTAGGAACTGCCGATGCTGGAGAATCTGAGATAACAAGGTGTAGAGCTGGATGAACACAGCAGGCCAAGCAGCATCAGAGGAGCAGGAAAGCTGACGTTTCAGGTCGAGACCCTTCTTCAGAAAATTTTATGAAGAAGGGTCTCGAGAAACGTCAGCTTTCCTGTTCCTCTGATGCTGCTTGGCCTGTAGCTGTACTGAAATGGTTTGTCTAGGGAAGTGGCAAGTTTTGGAGCATAAATCTTCAATACTGTTGTCAGAATATTGTAACAGTCTACAGCCATTGTTTTAACCACAGTGGTCAGGTCGAGTGAATTGAATTGGGAAGTGTAGGCTGAGGTGAATCATTACTTAGCACAGCTGAATGAAAATTATTATAAATGCTTCAGCCTTGTCTTTTGAACTGACCACTAGCCTCTACAGTCATTGTAGATTGGGATATTTGTGGAAACTCTTCCTTGGGGTTAATTACCGACAACTGTTCATGACAGGGTAATAGAGTTACGACCTGTCCATTAAGTCTGAGATTTCTTAGCTCTGTCAAACACAGCCTGGTTTTGCAGTGTGACATTCATGTTTATTTTGTAGCTTCACCAGGTTGACACCTCACTTTCAAGTATGCTGGTGCTGCTTCTGGCATGCCCTCCTGTACTGAACCAATGTTGATTCCCTGGCTTGATGGTAAAGACAGAGTGGGGAATGAGGTTACAAATTGTCTATGAATATAATTCATATGTTGATAGCCCACAGCGTGGCTGTCCAGTTTTGTATTAGAGCATAGAACATAGAACATAGAACAGTACAGCAAAGAACAAGCCCTTCAGCCCACAATGTTGTGCCGACCTATTATCCTACTCTAAGATCAAACTACCCTGCATACCCTACAGTTTTACTATCATCCATGTGCCTATCCAAGAGTTGCTTAAATGTCTCTAATGTATCTGATTCCACTACCACCGCCGGCAGCGCATTCCATGCACGCACCACTCTCTGTGTAAAGAACCTACCTCTGACATCTCCCCTATACCTTCCTTCAATCACCTTAAAATTAGAACCCCTTGTAATAATCATTTTGGCCTGTTTGATCTGTTTGAAATCTTATGTATCACATGGTAAAGTCACACATGTGATGGAAGGTGGAAATTCAGCTCCAGATCACTCATGTCAACACTGTCATGGGCAGATGCATCTTCAACAGGTAGATCACTGTGTACTCAGTAAGTTTTACCCTCTTGTTGTCTCACCAATTGTCACAGTCCAGTCTGGTAGATATGTCCAACATCATTCAGCTATCTTGACCATAAGTGCCAATCTTGTTGATCCCACAGGCAGACTACATTCTGCATCCTTTGTACTCTCATACTCCTTCCAACTTGTATTCAACACGGTGGATTCATCAGTGGAAAGGGATGGCACATGGTAATCAGCAGGATTGTCCTTTTTAACCTGATGCCATGAAATTCCTGGGAGTCTGGAGTCAATGTTGAGGACTCCCAGGGCAACTGCCTCCTGACTGCATACCGCTGTGCCTCCAGCTCTGCTAGGACAGGACATATCCAGGGATGGTAATATTGGTGTCTGGGGCATTGTCTGGAACATATGATTTTGTGAGAATGATTATGTCAGGCTGTTACTTGATTCATCTGTGAGACAACAGTCTCAATGTTAGTAAGGAGAACTTTGGGATTGGGTATGCTATTATATTTGAATAATTAGACTGACACTGTGCGGCTTGTCTGGTCTTATTCTCATTTTGTGTCTCACAATATGATCCATTTAATGCTGGACAAACTCAAAGGGAAAAGTGGTGTTCTTCTGCTTCTGAGGAAAGATTTGGTTCAACTGAGCACTTTGTTAAGTCATTTCAGGGGACTATTAAGATTCAACTACGTTGCAGTTGATCTGTAGACACATGTTGATCTGACCGGGTAAGGACAAGCCTACAGTGGACAGTGAAAGTCAGATGGTTTGTCTGTGGAAACAGCGGCCACTCCCAGTTTAAAGTTGGGGGAGAAACTGAAACAAACACCGAATTGTTAATTG